ACGCCACAGCAGCACAAGTAGACACCACAATGGCCCTTCCATGCTTTAGACCTCGAGTCTATACAAAGAAATATGACATAAATGCAATTAATAAAAAATCAGCAGTTAGTGAAGAGGTGAAGAAATACAAGTATAACAACTGTTAAAGTAGCCGATTAGATCACTACATCTAGTACATTGCCCTCACTAAATCTAGTAACAAATTCCTTGAAAAATGTGTTTGAATAAAGTGATATTAGAACAAATTGATATTACATATATTATGCTCACCTATGTTGTATGGGTATTTCTATTTGAAGTCGTACTCGTGTCGTGCCCGTAGCCAACACCGAAGCTTCAGAGGACACCCCTTGGATATATGCATACCCTTAATTAAATGTGTATTTAATTATATAATACATGTTTTAATTTAAAACACTCGTCATATACTTCTTTGACATATATCCTACACTTCACATACAATTCTTGAAAATTGTTGGACATAGGTCGGCTTTTTTCTAGCTCCTAACTTTTTCCTAGCTCCTAGTTCAGAGCTATGATTTTAAAGGGTCTTTTTGGATATCAGGTTACAAACAAGTAGTTATCTAATTTATAGATCTGCATAGTACATAAAAAAAAGTAACATATAAATATTATTGGAATGTTGTTTTCATGAATGTTGTTGCATAGCAAGTGATGAAAAAATAATATTAATCTCATATAAATTATTATTATATATAAGCATGAGTAGCTTTGCATCTGTGGTTCTGTACCTTGCCTTTTACAGATTTTTGTGTCCTGTACTTGTACCTGCACTCTCACCCGTCTCTGTGTAACTTAGCTGCTCACTGAAATCTGAATCTAGTAACTTTGATATCTTACTGATGAAAACATAGCACTAATGTGTGCACTACTGCAGAAAATAAATATAACTAAAGGGTATAGTCTTTTGACCACTTAATGATATTACAGAAGCAGGACCAGGTTAATAATCCAAAACCTATGTAACAGGGTAACAAGCCATATTTCAAACATAGATAACATCTGCTCAAACTGACATGGGCACAGTTTCATACCATCATATATTCTGAACAAGACGATCTGCATAATTCTTATAGTCAAGAGGAAAATGAAATTATGTGAACTAAATCTCAATGAAGTAAATAACAACCAAGATCCCTCCAGCTAATGTTTACACTGAATAAGTACGGACTTGAGATTTAAACAGGCAACATAATAGCTTTCAGCTTTTTCCCCCCCAAAATGTTTAACATATTACATCTAACGCCATCTACATATTAACATTATAAATGTCGGTTTGAGGCCAAAGTCAACTATATTGAGTGTCTAGAGTCTATGTCTAGAAGCTTTTAGCTCCATCTTACTTTAAAAATTATAAGGCTAAATCTAGAATATTCTTAGAATCAATAGTTAAGCGGGATTAGTTCGCCTTGCTTGTAAACAAGCAAGAAAGCACAAGTGCTAAGAGAGGGAGTTCTATAGAACACGGTGAACAAGAGAGTGAGAATCTCAAATTAAAAGGGTTGTATTTGCTGTCTTGTGCATTCCTCTCGTTCTCATCTCTACAGATGGCACCAAAAGCACTAACACACAATTCCCAGCACCATTACCATCTAAACACGTGCAAAGTTATTTTCCCTT